AGGCAATCCCCATCGGATTCGATCATAGTCATAAATAAACTGAGAGAAAAATAATCTGGAAAAAAAAATTGAGTGAAAAAAGAAAGAAAAACCAAAAAAAAAAGAGAAAGGAAAGAAACAAAAAAAAGGAAAAATAAAAAGAGAGTGTTTATTCTAACATGCTTGTTTTTTTTAAATAAAAGTTAGTTAAAGGTGGTCGGTTTGTTGGTTTGCAATGGCGAGTCACCAAGAACAATCCAAGATCCCTCGGAAATAAAAACATCTTCTCAACCGAAGGAACAAGAACCACTATTGTTGATCCAACTAAGGTCACGAAAAGGAAAGTAAGCAAGTTGGTGATAAAAATAAAGGCAACTTCTACCAGTTTTGAGCAACAGGACATGCTCTGCTTGGATGATCTGTGATAATAGGGAGACATAAGAATTCGTCCAAGTCTTTTTGGCGATATAAGTACTGTGAAATTCCCATGTTGTCAATCCTGAAATCCGTCAGCCAATATGGGGAACAGTTTGATCAAAAGACAGAATTTGAGTGTTGAATCCATAGCAATAAAAATGGTCAAATACCGTAGTAATGCTAATGTGCAAGTCTGTGGCTAGATGTCGCTTAGCAACTGGAAAGTCACTCCTTTTTTAGATAGAGAGGAGTCATGGTAGGTTATTTTGTCGTCTTTTCTTCTTCTTTTGTGCTATCGGACCCTTCTATCCTTTATTCAATAAAAAAAAGGCAGTCAGTCATTGTGTGTCCATTTTGTGCATAGTTCTTTTCACGCTAGTTCTAGTGACATGACATGCATACGGAATTTTTGGCCTGATCTTAAAAAACTGATTTAGTCTTGAATTGTATAAGTGAGAAAGAGACACTTTTGAAGAAAGAATAGACACGTGAAACATTTGGAAAATAAGCATGAGCTAAGTTTACATGGAACCAAAGCAGTCATGCTCATGGAAGTTAAGGATCTCTACCTTTTGAATCATTTGAGAAGATCGAGCTTAAGGATAATCGGACGGGTTGAAGTCTGTTTAGCATTAAGAGATAGAAAGTGTTTTTCAATAGAAGGTGTATTCCAGACAACTTGAAATAGATCAATTAGTGGAAAAATGCATCTTCTACATCAAGACAAAATCCAAGAAAAGTCACCCAAATTGACAAGGGTCATTCACAACGAGGAAAGTATTGTTCATACAGCTTTACACTGAAAAAGACCCAAGAAGATAGACATGTTCATCAATGTCGTGATTGTGAAGGGCTAACATGATTGGCCTTATCGAGGCTAGGAGGCCCTTTTTCTGCTATCCAAACACTTTATACCCTTTGTTACCCCTTTTGAGCCTGTGTTATTTTCTTTGATCACCCTCTTTTGGAATCAAGTTTAGAGTCAAGAGTCAAAAAGAAAAAGAAAAAAAATGAAATGAAAAAAAAGAAAAAGAAAAAAAGTCCATGTCCCAATAGTACAAACTGGGGCAGCTTTTAGAAAGTTCAACTGAAAAAAAAAAGAAGAGGAAAAGAATCAAAGGTCCATGCCCTCAAAAAATAAAAGCCAGGCAAACTTGTTTTGAAAACAAAAAGAAAAAAAGATAGAAGAAAAAGAAAAAAAAAACAGAAAGAAAGTTGAAAAAAATTAGTTAGGTCAGATAACTACGTTCGACCTGATTCCTTTACAAAAAAAAGGATATGTAGGCAGCCTCACGGTTCGGTCCAACCAAATAAGAATTTAAAAAAAAAAATCCCAAAAAATCCCCAATAGCTGAAACTGGGGCAAAGATTTTATTTCACTTTTGAAAGAGTCGATTCCAAGAGTTGTAAGTCTACAACCCCTAATCTTGAGTCTACTTTGAGCCTTCATGCCGACCCTTCTTTCCAACCCTATCCAAAAACCTTCCAAAAAAAAGACCTCCCGATATGCCTTCAAGAATGCCAAGAGAAGCATGTAATGAGCAACGGTTATCACGCGACATAGAACACTGTCAAGTTGCTTACAAAGGAAAGCAAAGAAAAAAAAAAGAGAAAAAGAAAAAAAATGAGAGAGTCTTGCTAGTGAAAACCTTCACGGGCACTGTAAGGCGACGGTAAGTAGAGATAAGTAAATGAGAGAGGTTTGTTGGTGAAAATCCCTCGGGGCACCACTAGTCGAAAGTGAGTCATGAAGCTGATGCAAAGGATTGGCACGAACAAGCCCGACTTCAAAGGTCATAGAATGGCAACAGGGAAGATTGGATTAGTTTGGTAGATCGGCCGTTAAGTCCAAAATGCATTTCATGATCATTAAGGCCAGTTATTGAAAAAAAAAAAAAAAAAGAAAAAAAGAAAAAAAAACCCTTCCTTCTATCCTTCCCGACAGGGGTATTTCTTGTTAATATTGTTTCTTCGCATCATTATTTCCTTCACTCTGAGTCAGTCCTTCTCAAAACAAGCAAGAAAAGATTTCAAAATCTGCTACCAACTTTTCAGTTGCACAAAGTAAATTTGTCCAGCACACTCAGTTTCTACTGTCGACATGCCTTGAAGATTCATGCAAAGGCTTCCCCCAAAAAGACTCTTGTCAGCCTACTTGGCGCAAGCAAAGATAACTTGTGATTCTCTTTAATAGACAAATTGCTCAAAAAGCAAGAAGTCATTCAAGATATCAGAAAAGGTCACCTGAGCAAAGATCTCCAGTTAGGATAAGGCTGATTGAGCCATAAATACAAATGGTAATGGATGTGAAACAATCAAGGTTGATGCAGAGCAAAAGTCTCTTAAGACCGACTCAAGCTGATGGAGCAAAAGCCGAGCTGATCAAGACTCAATGCCACAAACCGACCACCATTTTCAAAACTGACAAATTTATCTTTGTGTGAAACAGGAACAAAGCAGTGCAATGAAAGTGGTTCAAAAAAAAAGAAAAAAAAGAAAAGAAAAGGAGAAGAAAAAGAAAAGAAGAGAAGAGCCGACAAAGCGAAGTTTTTCAAATCTTTGCCTTTATTTGTCTTGCTGTTGTGCATAAAATCTTGCCGTTGATCTTCACGTTTTTCCTCCTAGGATAAAAAGTCCTAGTCTGATAGATTTTCCTCCCAATAGAAATCTTAGTCTGATGAATTTTTCTCCTAAGATAGAAAACCTAGTCCGATGAATTTTCTCCTAGGATAGAAATCTTAGTCTGATGAATCTTTCTCCTAAGATAACCAAAAAAAAACCTAGTCTGATGAATCTTTCTCCTAGGATGAATGTCTTAGTCTGATGAATTTTTCTCCTAAGATAGAAGACCTAGTCTGATGAACTTTCTCCTAGGATAAAAATCTTAGTCTGAAGAATCTTTCTCCTAAGATAACAAAAAAGGGACCTATTCTGATGAATTTTCTCCTAGGATAAACGTCTTAGTATGATGAATCTTTCTCCTAAGATAGAAAACCTAGTATGATGAACTTTCTCCTAGGATAAACGTCTTAGTCTGATGAATTTTTCTCCTAAGATAAGAAAACCTAGTCTGATGAACTTTCTCCTAGGATAGAAATCTTAGTCTGACGAATCTTTCTCCTAAGATAACAAAAAAAGGGACCTAGTCTGATGAATTTTCACCTAGGATCAAAATCTTAGTTTGATGAATTTTTCTCCTAAGATAGAAAACCTAGTCTGATGAACTTTCTCCTAGGATAGAAATCTTAGTCTGATGAATCTTTCTCCTAAGATAACAAAAAAAGGGGACCTAGTCTGATGAATTTTCTCCTAGGATCAAAATCTTAGTCTGACGAATTTTTCTCCTAAGATAGAAGACCTAGTCTGATTAACTTTCTCCTAGGATAGAAATCTTAGTCTGATGAATCTTTCTCCTAAGATACCAAAAAAAAAAGAAAAAAAAGGACCTAGTCTGATGAATTTTCTCCTAGGATCGAAGTCCTAGTCTGATGAATCTTTCTCCTAAGATTAAAACCTAGTCTGATGAATTTTCTCCTAGGATAATAATTTCTTAAAAAAAAAGGGATGTCTCGATAAAAAAAAAAAGGGCGTTGGGGCAATTTGTTTAAAAGAATGATTTTCTCAAAAAAAAATGATGATTTTTCCCAAAAAAACAAAAAAAAAAAAGTTTAGAATTTTGTTATAATAACTCACGAAATTTTCCTAGTGAAAACTGGGGCTGAAAAATTTCGTTTGTTTGTTTGTTTTGGTGTCTGAGCAGGTTTTACCTCGAGGCACAGGGTTCGAGACGACCAAAAGAATGAGTCTCAATCCAGAATAAAGAAAAAAAAGAAAAAAAAGTGAACTCAAAGTGCAGAAGCGGAGAAAAGATGTGGACTGCTCAAGACGTGATTGAAGTCACAAGCTTTGCATGTCCCGCCTTGATCCGAAAAGCTGAAAAAGGAAAGAACCAGCACCTGTAGCTAACAAGCATCAAGATTCAGATCAGATTCCGCATGAAGAACCAACCAAGACTCAAGATCAAGCTTCAGAAGACTCAGATAGGAATCATGTAACTCGTAGCTGATAGGCTTAGTTAGTTTTTTTTTTTCAATTTTGATTTTTGATGTAATAACGGGACCGCGGATCGGACCCTCGATGTAAAACGGCACCTCGCTCGGCTCTCAACCTCGGTACTCCATCACCTCATTCACTTCTGAACTACACGTGGCCTGATTCCTTTATAGCCAAGGATATGTAGGCAGCTCAGATACCAGGGCTCGGTCACATTCTCCTTTCTTTTAGCTTTTGGCCTCTCTAAATAAGGGTCGGGTCAAAAAACCAGTCTAGTCATTCTTTGTCTGAAAACTCTTCGCGTTTCCAGTCAAAGAGGGGCAGCTGTAGACATGTGATTTTTGACCCTCCCCAAGATTTTTCATATTTTAGCACGTAAATATTTAATTTAGGCCTAATATAGCTATTTCAACTAATTTTTACTCTTTTACTTTATTTTACTACAAGAAAAATAAAAATTACAAAAATTGTTCAATTAATATTTTGTAGTCATTTTTAATCTTGAAAAATACCAAAAAATAGTTTATTATAACAGTCAGTCTTATTTTAATAAGTAGTTTACTTATGTAGGATTAATTAATAAATGAGATCACATTTTTTTAATCCCGTTCGTAGGGAAAGAATAAAACTTGGGCTCGAGCAACCCATTTCAGACCTAATTTTTAGACCTAACCCATAATTCCCAAGCCCATAATTCCTAAGCCCATACCCCTAACCTAATTCCTACCCCTATATAATAGTACTTAATGCCTAAATAAGGACTACGCCTAAAACACTCTGCAAAAAAATGGAATCCGCCGTTTTCCCATAACAAAAAATGACAACCTTCATTTAAAGTCCATGGTCTTCTTCATTCCAGATAGCTCTCAGCAGACTAACGCCTAAGAGCTTGAACAGTCGAAAACATAACAACCAACAGTAGGAGCCATTTTTGTCCTCCTGGAATGTGATTGGCAAAGATCGATCTCCACCTCCCTCCAAATCGGAAAAACCAGCAACACCCCAAAATCTGGGAACGAAACACATACACAAACAAAGAACGGACGACCTCACCTCTCTCAATTCCAAGAGAACACCCTTCAGCCGTGATTTCGAAATCTTGGACCCTACCAAAATCGACCAGCAACACGCCCGAAACAGAGTAAAACGCAGAACAAAAACGGTCCAGAAAGCACCGTCCAAACAGAGCAAATCAGAGGTGCCGACTCGAGGTCCGTTTCTGAATTTTGCCGCGATTCCGGCGAGTTTCGAAGTTTGGATCGTAGTTCCGTCCAGAGGTCGTCGGATTCAGTTCTTTTGTTTTCCATGTAAGTTCAGTTTCTATTTTATTGTGTTTTTGACAATAGTACTGCATTGGTTTGTTATTTTTTTTTGTTGCTATTGACTTTCATCTCTTTGTTAGGTCACACAGAATATTTATTATCTTTGGCTTTCTAATTGTTGAATGAGTATATGCTTTCCTTGTATTTAAAATTCAAAGTTTAAAATATATGAGGGGTTAAGAAAGTGTCCAGCATATTTTAGGAAAATGTGGTGATGTACTGATTAAGCAAAATGGTTCTGGTCACATGTTATCTTATTATTTGTAACTTTCGTATTTTCACTTACTTTGGATTCTTTTGTTCTTTTTTGCTCGGTTGTCGATTTTATATGTTTGTGTGGATGGTTGAATGGAAATGTTTCTAATGACTAAATTAGACGCGATTAATAAATCATCGTGGCTATGGGTACGGCTCCCGTGTCATGGTCACGATATGAAATTTCAATTCGGGGGTGCATTTCATGTGACCCGATTATAACAGCTTCGAATAATATAACCCTTTGAAATAATTTGAGGCGTGCCATGCCAAATAAAACCCTTAGGCTCATGGCCCTCACAAAACTAGTTAGCTTTTTATAGAAAATTTGAGGTGTGCCATTTTCATTAAATAACTCCTGACCCTCATGTAATTAATATTAACTCTTTAGAAATCGAGGTGTGCCATTAGTTGAATTTTCCATGGCCCTCGCAAACCTTGTTATTAACTTGAAAGCGCGTAGTTGCTTTAGGCGCGCTATTTTAAAATTAATTTCCTAAACTCGGGTGTGCATTTCATGTGACCCAACTACAATTCTCAACAACGTTAAATAAAACGTGTCGTGGACCGCGGGTGCATTTTATGTGGCGTGGTTCAAGATGTGTTTTAGATAACGTTGAAACTTCCCGAAATATTAAAAGCGGCTAATAAGTTAAAAGTGCACCAATAGGTTAAAACATGTAATAAATTGGATAATAGGCCAATTTTAATAGTTTAAGCGACCGTGCTAGAACCACGAAACCTGGGAATGCCTAACACCTTCTCCTAGGTTAACAGAATTTCTTACTTAGAATTTCTGGTTCGCAGACTTCAAAAAGGAAAGTCGAATTTCCTCGATTTGGGATTTTATAATAAACCGGTGACTTGGGAAACCAAAAATAAACTATCCCAAGTGGCGACTCTTAAATAAATAAAGGGAAAAGGGCCAAAAATATCCCTCAACTATGTGAAAAGGATCATTTATGTCCTCCGTTATACTTTCGGTCTACCTTGCCCCTAACGTTACAAAACTGGTACAAAAATACCCCTTCTCCGTTAGACCCTCCACCATGGCCAACACATCCCACATGGCCTGACATTGTGCAGAAGTGGACGCGAAGTGACATGCCACCTCGATCACCTCACCTCCCCTCCCCAGCCCCATTTTATCCCTCTCGTCCCACTTCTTCTTCCATCACATCTCCAGACATAGGTAAGCTTAGTGTAATGGCATATTCTTATAACTAAAATATATATTCTGTTGCCATCGACGTTGAGACCTTGGCGGAAAGGTCTGAATTTTTTCTCTTTGCTTTAAAGTATTTGTATGATTTATGCGTATTGGTAAATAAAGTTCATGGGGTTACCTTAATTCGTGACTAATTGACTAATTTAAATTTCTTAACGAATGGACAATGCGATGTTTTCTCTTTGAAATATTTCTGGGCATTGATAATGCATTTTGGCTTTACATGTGTAATTTTGCTTCTTTTTTTTTTTTTTTTTTTGTGTGTGTGTGTTAAGACAACTTTTTGGCAGTTATTTATTATGGAATATTGAATTGTAGATCCGTTGATAAAAATTGTGTTCTATCTGTCAAGTAACTTTTTTGTTTACAAGAAGATTAAAGCTCGAAATCAGAAATAGCAATTTTCTTTTCTCTGTGGTCAAATTGCTTGTTTGACGGTTGCATTTATTTATTCGAAGGCTCATAAAACACATCAGAGGGCTGAATAGTTGGTGTTGGTAGAGAAGGACGTGAGTAATTGAATTCTCGAGTAAAGTTTTTAGAGCCATTGATATTTCTTTGGTTACAAAAGAGCGCAAAAAAATTAAATTTTTTTTGAATGTTGTTTCAGCTTGTCTTAATTATTGCAGTCTCATTCTATATTTGTCAAATAATTTTTTATTCCAATTGTTTAGCCTCACTGATTGCTTATAAATTTGATTGTTCTTTTCGATCGAATGGAGTAATCCTGAATGATGTTGATAACGCTAGGATGGATTGGGGGACGTGAGGTGGCATGCCACTTGGTGTTCACCTCTACAAAATGTCAGGCCATATGGGATGATGTTTGCCATGGTGGAAGGTCTTAACGGAGGAAGGGTATTTTTGCATCAGTTTTGTGACGTCAGGGCCAATGGTAGACCGAAAGTATAAAGGAGGACATAAATGATCCTTTTCACATAGTAGAGGGATATTTTTGGCCCTTCTCCCATAAATAAATAATTTCATTTCGAATAATGTCACTTTAATTGAAAAAACTCCCTTATACTACCTCTCGGGGTGTAAAAAAGGAGGTGTGACAGGGTGAAAGCTTGAACGGCCCAATCATCTATGACCAGTGGTAACTCCATGCGTTCCATTTGAAATGGGATACGAACTCCCTCAACATTTTGTTATCCCTTTGTCTTACCTTGAAAAGGTCCAAATTCTTGTTGCGACGTTTATGGCCCCGGCGTGTGCCTTTACGAAAGAATCTACTAACATGGCAAATGAGTCGATGGAATTTGGCAGCGGGTTGTGATACCAAACCATTGCTCCCTTAGAAAGGGTCTCTCCGAACATTTTCAATAGCACAGATTCGATCTCATCATAAACTAAATCGTTACCCTTGATGGCACATGTATATGAAGTAACATGCTCGTCGGGATTGGTGGTCCCATTATATTTGGGTATGTCTGGCATACGAAAATTCTTTGGAATAGGCTTCGGAGCCGCACATCGAGGAAATGACTTTTGTACGAACTTTTTTGAATCCATCCCTTTCAAGATTGGTGGTGCCCCCGGTATCTGATCAACTCGAGAGTATGTGTCTTCACTTTTTTATCATTAGCTTCAATTTTCGTCTCTCCTAACTCGATTCTCTTAGAGAGCTCCTCGAGCATTTTCATAACTGCAGGATCGATCAACGATTCGTTTCCATTCGACCTCTTTGGAACTGGCTCGGTACGGCGAGATTTCCGGCTCAACGCCACTCAGAGTTGTATGTTGATTTTGAAGCTGAGAGCGTTAGCAGCCTACTGAGCTTGTAGCATCTCGAATATCACATGGAGACTAACTCCTCCATCTCCTCTGCCCTGTGTGCCTTTGCCACCAAATTGGCCTTCCCTGCGTACATTCCCTTCGGGGTCTGCGCCCAGGTCCGCATTTAAAGCAACGTGCAAATTGATATCGACTAGATCGGCAACTGGTGCATTCCCGAGATTAAACGGTGGCACCTCGGCTCCTGGAGCATTATATTGTCGTTCTCCCCATGAAACCCAACACCATTAACACCATGTGCGGGTGCGTTCCGTGAGTTTGACATGTTCTAACCTGAATACAAAAATACTTGACAAGAAAAAGTGTGAAATCATGTGTGTTACCAGAATCAGCACCGAACAATCACTATTATCCTTAGCCCCACGGTGGGCGCCAAACTGTTTGCCCACAAATTCAGATAACAATTAAACTTATATTGTGGTTTTAAGGATATGTGATTTCGCCCAATACCAATCGACAAGCTAGAAAATAAATGAGTAAATTAGAGAATAAAGTTAATCAAAACAGTGTGTTAGCCAAGTCTCAACCTCGACATGGGATAGCCTCGAGGTAGGAAGGCAAAGTAAAGTAACTCTGATGAACAGTAAGTGAAATAGCAAGAAATTATTGAATATATATGTTCTTATCAGTGAACAACGATCCTTACAACTGAATTTGAACCCTCTTTATATAATAAGGGAGTCCTAAATAAGGTACACGTCTAATTGTAGTAGGAGACCATATCAACATATAATTAACCGCTATAGATCGATCCGTTCCGAGATTCACGCCACGATTCTTGACCAATCGCGGATATCATGCCTTTTCCGTTATCAAGCCATGCCGGTGTCCCTCGAAGACTGCCTCTTTCTATTCAAAATCGAGGTCGACCTCGGGATGAGTCGACGTCCTAGCTCTTTCACTTGACATTCCTTTCTCGACCAAAGAATGAAATCGGGTTGACCCGATTTCCGCCGTATACACGTATTTTTGTATACACTTTTTGTGATATGGACTTATTTGGCAGTACTTGAGTTTTCCGTGCGGTTAACGTGACTATTGGCACGAGAGATGTACGTGCAATTTTTGTGATTATTGGCATGTGAGGTGCTCATGTAGAACGTGAGTTTTCTGTGCGGTTATTGTGATTATTGGCATATGAGTTATCCGTACAACATGTGAGTTGTACATGTGGTTGTTTCAATCATGGCACATGAGTTTTTTGTTATACGTATGTTGAACTATGTATTTTCACTTGTTATACATGCATATCCTCTTTATATGCACTGTCCGCCTAACCTGTACACTAGGCCTAACTTTCATTATTGTTGATGTTTACATATTTATTCATAATTGTACATGTTTAATTAGTTAATATCATTGACCACTCTCTCCACTACATCACCGAGGTTAGTCCTGATACTTATTGAGTACATGGAGCCGGCTTTACTCATACTACACCCTTTATTTAATTATGCAGATCCTGGAGTTAGACCGAGCTGAGCTCTTGAAGATTGTTCCAACTACTGTCTAGACCTGAGGTAGAGCTGCATCCTGATCGCATTTCTTGGTGTCTCCTTCTATCATTTCATTATTGTATTTCATTCAGACAATGTATCGTAATTTCAAACTTTTACTTATATATTAGAGCTCATGACTTAGTGTTGCCAGTTTTTGGGGTATTTATGTATTGACTATGTTCTTAATTATGGTTATTTAGTTTTGGATTCAATTCTTATATATTTTATTATTATATTTCATTATTGTTTAGTTATTAGCTTTCCTAGCAAGTGGGTTAGGCGCCATCACTATTAGTGAGGGTTTTGGATCGCGAAAAGTTTGTACAGAGCCCTAGGTTCATAGGTTCCACGAGTCAAGAGTGAGTTTTGTAGAGTCTTACGGATCGGTACACAGACGACTGTACTTATCATTGAGCACACATTTTTCTAGTTCAGCTGAGTAGGAGCTAGTACCACAGGCCATAGCCGTCAGAGGTTGGGGCCGAGGCAGAGGCATGGGTGGAGCAGGCGCCGCGGTTACAGGCTCTGCTTGAGCAGTCTATTGGAGCTACCCGTAGCTCTTGCTGAGGAGAAAATTCCAGATTATGTTGAGCCGGTGGGACCAGACCAGGGTCTGGAAGAAGTTGTTGCACATGGACTTTATGAGACTTTGGCTTATTCTGAGCGTGTATATAATTTTAGATTAGGGGGTATTATCTGTGTTGCTGTAGCTACTTGGGATGCTGGGGAAGGAGCTGTGATTCCTGCCACATGCACACCAGAGCATTTGTCTCGTGGTTATCAGACATGAGGTGTCTTACCGGTGTATCTATCCATTGCAGCTCAGCCTAAGATTAGACCACTCTTGACTGTTGAGGAGCAGAAGAGGATTGACAAATTACAGAGACTTCATCCTCCCAGTTTAGTGGAGAGTCTAATGAGGATGCACAGGGTTTCCTTGATCTATGTCTTCGAACATTGTCGACTTTTAGTATAGTGGATTCGAATGGGGTCGATTTACTACCTTCCCGTTAAAGGGGATATCATACAGATGGTGGCAGACTTATGAGTCGAGTAGACCAGCTGGCACAACACCACTCACATGGTCTTAGTTCTCAGATCTCTTCTTGGTGAAATTTATTCCACATACTCGCAGAGATGAGCTGTGTAGTTTGAGCATCTACACCATAGGGGGAATGACCTTGACTCAGTAAGAGATGAGGTTCACAAAGTTGGCATGACATGTTGTGTTATTGGTCCTTACTAAGAGGGAGAATGTTAGGAGGTTCACTGAGGGTCTCAACTTTGGAATCAGGTATAGTATCGTCCGAGAGGTCGAGACTGATATCATTTTTCATCAGGTTGTGGAGATTTTTAGGCGCTTAGGGCATGTGTGTAGGCAGGAGCAAGAGGAGCGTGACGTCAAGAGGCATCGTGGTTCAACTGGTTTCAGTAGCACCTCATTTGGAGGCTAAGGGAATAATTTTAGAGGTCATTCGTTCAGGCATGTTCAGTCAACCCATCAGGTTAATCGTTTTTATTAGTCGTCCATGGTTCAGAAAGTACTCGCTCAATCGAGTCATCTTTAAGTGCAGTATGACATAAAGTTCATACCGTGCTTCATCTGTTCGGGTTCCTCAGTTGTGTATTCAGGTTCTTAGGGAAGTAGTAGCGTCAGCAACTATCGCACCCCGTTTTCTCGCGAAAGCAGGCTTCAACATGTGACAACTCCTTTTGGAATGGGGGATAGAGTGCTAAAGGAGAAGAGTCACCACCTAATGATTTTTAAGGTGCGTTAGAGCACCTATTACGCAGATAACTCTATTTGACTAGTCAACGTCACCAAAGATCGGGTAAGGACTCAAATTACCTCAAAGAGAAGGTGTTAGGCGCTCTTCCAGGTCCACAACTGTGGGTCCCGACAGAACATAAGATTATATGGATTACAATTAATCTAGGTGTTCAAATAAACAAAGGGAATTTAGAAGTCAAAGAGTTTTTTTACAACATGATTAGTACAAATCTTAGTACGGGTACATGGATGCGACTATAGCAGTATATAAAAGAGAGGGGGGGGGGGTCCTAAGTTTTATAACCTAAAGGATCACCTCGTGCAACATAAATAATACTTCGTAACTCCCTTAAGGTAGGGAGTTACTCATATTATTCAGCGGGCACGGACTATCATCTCCAACTACCTGATTACTATATTAAAGTTGTTTACTTAAAGCGTGCTAGTTCAATTCTAAATCGTGCTCTATGCGTGCACTACCCGTCCCATACCTATGATCCATGAGGTATTGGACCTCTATTTGGGTGGTTTTAGACCTCACTTAGGCTGCTTAGAAATGTCAAAACTAGGCGACGTACAAAACATATTAGACTTCAAATTCGGGCAGTTAAGGGCTCAAGTTTGCCTCCACACCTACGCAACTAAGGCACATAAGACAAGTTTTCATGTTAGGCAATTCAGAATTAAGAATCTTAAGCCCTATAGACATGATTTCTACATGACAAAACATCAAAGCATACAAGCAGTTTCAACGGCGAGGCGCTGTTTATCTCTAAATGATTATATGATTTGCACGCTGATTTGAGATTGCAGATTTCTAGCATGTTAACCTACAGACGCTGCATTTAAGTGATTTACGCTCCAGGTGATAGTGGAATCTATTGGGAGAAACCCATAATTACTCATGCCTTTTGACAATGGCCTAAGTGAATAATAAATGAAGTTGAGAGGTGCAGTATTAACAATTATTAAGGCGAATAGTGATATCCTATAGACAGGATCTCTAACGATTAAGACTTGGAACCTATTTATTGTTATACTTATCCCTAATTACTTGTTTTCTAAGTGAATAGGATGATAACAAATGAAACGATTAAAATCCTATAAGCATGACTTATAGTGAACAGTGCGAGACAGTAGCAAATGCAGTGATCAAAGTCCTATAGACATGATTTTCAATGAACATGTTGAGGCAAATTGAAAGATACTTTAGTGAAATTTATTCCTATAGGCAGGTTTTCTAGTAGCACGTAGCAGTAAGAATGATTACAGCATTTGAATTCATGTTTGCTAGCAGACAGTGTGTGTGTGTGTGTACTTCCCCTAATGACGTTATTTCTGTAGTGCACATAGTGATCGAACGGCACATATAGCAAGTGAATCAATAAGTCCAATAGGCATACTATCAACCCCATTTTCATGCAAACATTAAGAATCTACCCAGTCCCCGTTTTTACTAACACCCAATCGTTCATTACAAAATTATTACAGACCCAATAATGAATAATATTACAAATATTATATTAATAATGATAATAGGCCCACAGCAGGCCCTCAAGAAATACCCAGCACTATCTGGGCCTTCAGCAATTCTCATGTAGCATACCCAAGTTTCACACAAGGAGCCATATTTGTCAACACAACCCAGAATCCATAGAAGAGCTCAAAGCCAAATCATAAAACCATATTGCCAAGCATTGAATCACTTAAACCAACCAGCTTAGATATTCAGCATATAATAGGAAGAAAGAGTTGAGTGGGATAGTTCAGGTTTCAGGGAGTGGCTAAAGACCCAAATCCTAGTGTGTTAGAGTTCACAAGAGTCTAAAATGGACCCCGAGTAGTGCTCACCCTATGGAGGTCAGTAGTTAGAGCCTTGGTAGCCATGGCTTTCAGCCAACTAAGAATGAGAAGTTCAAAACAACATAAGTAATAAATTAGGGAGAGTGGACAATGGTTGAGGGACAGAAGTTGGGGGGAATACACTTATAACTTAAAGTAGACATAGGGAGGTTGAGAACACGAAGAAACTAATCAAATAAGTCATAAAGCAGGTTCAGTGGGGACTTATAAGTAGGTTCAACACTTATAAAAATAACACATGGACATATTGAAAGAGTTAAGGGGGGGGGGGGGGGAACAAGTTTGCAGGATTGACAAAGATTATCATGCACAGGTGCACAATACTAACCAAGATGAAACTTAAGAGCTAAAAATTATGCTAAGTATACATCCTAGTGTCATGTTAATCAGCGTGTAGACATGATGAGGAACACACATTGTGATAAGCCAAATAATCATTAAAGGAACAGGGTATCAAGTGAATCAAAGACATATTGAGGGATATATTAGCAGAGAAGCAAGATCATAGTCGATATAAAAGGTCTTAACACAAATTAGAACACATTACATATGCAAGGCTATCCTTACAGAGATTCAAAACAGAACGGGAAAGCAAACTCATGTCAAGCAGCAAATGTAGGTATTCAGGCATTGACAGAGTAGACTATAACTATGAAGGTCCAAGTTATGTTAGAGATTCCACTAATATCATGAAGTAGTTCAAGAAAATTGAGATGACTATTCTAAAACTTCATAAAATCACTAAAGGGGTATGAGATGAAGTGAGCATGCTGAGTGTCATAGTTAAGAAAGGGTGTTCTAACGCAGGTCATTACAAATGTGAAGAATTCATTACAAAGATTCAGGACAAAGCAAGTAAGCATATTTATGAACATTCGGGCACCAATGCATTAGTTAAACGAGCTTTGGAGGGTCAAATTATCCAAGTTAGACTTAGAGAATATCAGAACTAGCAGCATTAGGAGAAGTTAAATTCCAAAGAGTCTTAAAACAAGTGTAAGTTAACAGAATCGTGCATAAAAGTGACCCCGAAAAAACATAGGACGTGAATTTCAGACACATAAGGATGAAATTGCAAAAGTCAAGTGGCTTACCAGTTAAACGGACAATAAATATATTTCGGAAAAGGGTCTAATCTGTCCCTCTACTATCATCAATAGTTTAAATAAGCCCTCCGTTATACTATTAGAGCATTAAATCCCCTGCCGTCTTACTATGAAACACAAATAACCTTATTTTAACAGATAGGCCACATGGCAATACCAAACTCATCCGGTTAGTTTTAATAGATCCAACCCAAACCCGTAATCCGACCCTAAAATATTAGACCCTTCACCCTAAAATAAAAGACTCCATCACCGGTAATGTTTCCACCTGCTGACGGCTTCACCACCACCAATTCCTCAAATTCCAGGACATACTTCACCACCTAAAATACTTCATCTCTGATAATGCTTCCACCTACACCAACTTCCTAAATTATAGGAAAACTACTCCGTGAAGTTTTTCTCGTCATTAAGTAACTGGGAAGCAAATTTGGAGACTAAATTATTGGAGTATGAATTGTTTGTCTTTACTTGCAAC